AAGGGCTTGAGTGATATTGAACCTTTCAATTTTACAATCTTGTGGGTTAGGGAGAATAATTGGAGGAAGAGGATGAAGTGAAACATGATTTCTTGTTCCTCGATCGAATCGTGGAACATCATCTTCATGTGGAATGCTTGTTCCACGGAATTTGGGAAGACCACAGTTGTCGAACTTTGACATCTACAAAACAGGAGAAACAAATTCAAGTTAGTTGATTGATTGAGTCCTTAGTAAATCACCCAAATGAGATACTAAGGCTAGGACCCAACACAATACGCTACAACCTAGAAAAGGGATGTCATAATCTAGTTGCAGAATATTTGAAGGTAAGTGAATGACGATTCACTAATTTCCACCATCAAAAACGAAAAAGAAATTTAAGTTTTAAATCTATGAAAACTCCTAGATCCTTTGAGATTGATTGAACATTTCAATTGCATGTTTAAATCTCGATATGCCCCTCTTGTTTGTGACTGGGATGCCGAGGATCACAAAGCGGGTGTGAATAACCATGCAAAGTTACATGGTGCCCTCACATGTTACAGTCACCTATTCGATGTGCCGGTAAACCACACACGCTCCACCGAACTATGACAAACATTGAGTCACCCTTTGCTACCTTTGCTTAGAACCATTTAGTGTGCCGGTAAACCACACACGCTCCACTAACGTCTTCGCAAGGGCATAAAGTGTAATTTCATGGAATTGCATCAATTCACTTTTACCTAAGTAACTAAGATTGGGAATTTGCAAAACATTTAGTTACTTTGTATTTCATTATACTTATAATGGAAGGTTTCGTCCTATCCTACCCGTTCGTCTAACGACCCTCCACTAGTCAAGAGTGTGGTGGTAAGAGTGGATACCCATTCAATCGCCATTTTATAGGCAATTTCCTTAAACACCCCTTATAGACCAGCTTCGTGAATGAGGCCTACTAACTGTAAGACTGACTTTTACTCATACATATATATAATGTTAGACTTTTAATGTTATATATAGTATAGGGTGCATTTTACACTTTTAAAATATTAGGTGGTTAACTTTAACAATTACACTTTTAATTCAATTAAATGGTTAACCTAAACTTTTATGGATTTATTAAATCTCTTTTAATTATACTCCTTAATTAATTAATAAAACCATAAGGGTGTATTTGAACTTTTCAAAACATTACTAGGGTTTTAGAATTTAATATTCCTAATTAACTTTTAATCAACTTTTAAATTCCAAAACTTGAGGGCAAGTTTTGAAACATTTTTCAAAACATTAGGGTTTTAACTACTTAAATTTCAAAACTACAAAACTTTTGGGTTCAAATTTAAACTATAAAACCTAAAGGGCAAAATATGAAACTTTTCATAACAACAAGGATCAAATAACATTTAATTACATAATTATCCATATTTGATGATTTCTTGTAAAACAATTTATCAATTTACTTAAAAATAATTAATCAATTATCTTATAAGGAAACAATTATCTTATTAATACCTTCAATTAGATTAAAAATATAGTCAAATATATCATATAATCGGATTAATATTAATCTAACACGATAAGGTAATTATCCCAATGCAAAAACATCAAGAAATCCCGAGATAAGCATTATCTGACGCTCGAACTCGCCGAGTACCACACTGTACTCGCCGAGTACACTGTGGTACTCGCCGAGTTCCTCATCCATAAAGCCCAAAAAACGATTTTCCAGTTATACAATGCATCAATACAATTGAAACCAAGCTAGGCTCTGATACCACTGATGGGTTTTGGTCATAAGACATCCTATGTGCTCATACAAACCCTAATGCTTGGATCTAGGTTTCTCTATTGTACATGCTTTGAATCCAAGACTTCAAACCCTAATTCTAGCATATGGAAATCGATATTAACATATAATAAGGTTTAAGAACATACCTTGATTGTTATATAGCAATAACAATCCTAATTCCACCTTGAATTGACTTTGGAATGTTTAGAGTCACAAGTGTCACTCCTCTAATGGCTTACAAACACCAAGAGCAAATGGAGAAGGTATAAAGAGAGAGGAGAGAGGTTAGAATTCGTCCTTAGGACTTCTTGGGAAGGGATACACAAATTCATAAGCCTTGGGGTCTTTATATAGGTGTAGAGATAGGGTTTCAGGCATTATCCTTATTTAGTTGCTTATCCACAAAGCAACCTATAAGATAAGTCTTAGAAAAACCCTTATCTCTTGGCCTTGAACGATTTCAAGGATATCCTTATCCTTGAATTCGTCCATCCTTTAACAAGGATAACCATTGCCCTATTTTGCAACTATCACATAATTACAATTCAGCCCCTCTAGTTTAATTAATTACAGTTGATCACAAAATTAATTCCTAATTAATTATTGATCAATATTAATTAAACAAATATGATTTCTCCTTTAATATATTATTCTTATAACATATTAATAAATCATAATAACCTCTCTCTCTCTCTCTCTATATATATATATATATATATATATATATATATATATATATATATATATATATATATATATATATATATATATATATATATATTTCTCCAATCAAGTTGCTTTGGTGAAGGCAACCCAAAAGGACCATGCACCATCGGGTCAAGTACATACCAAAATAGTTATGGACTTAGACACTAATCCAACAAACCCTTAGACCGGCTAACATTTTGATTTTTGGATGGGTCGGATGGAAACATGCATGTGTGGACCTTATAGGGGTATCCCCTCTCGTGGGCTTGAGGGCGGGGGGTTTCACGGCAGGACTTGCTGCTTTAAAAGCTGCTACAGGCAAAGTCAACAAACATGAGAAATCGTGCATGGAAAATCAACACGTGTTCATACCATTTGCGTTTGATACGTTTGGTTTCCTCGCACCGGATGCGGTAATAGAGTACAACGGATTATGCATTGCAATGTTATATCCCCTAGTTCTATGAATGTAGTTTTTAAAAGATTGAGTTTTGCTATACAAAAAGGCTTAACGGCGCAGTTTTTTGTCCGTTTGCCATCTCATTTGTTGTACGATGATAATTAAATTTATGGAAACAAATCTTACCAAATTATATCGTATTATACTATTTATTTCCCCAAAAATGGTAATGAAATTTAAGTTGTTAGTCTTATTCCCTCGTTTCTTATTTTTTTATCTATTAATTAATATTTAAATGTAATATTTAATACTTATAATACTATATTATATATTAAATTTAAATTATATTAATTAATTATAAATATAAAGTTTATTTTTTGTTTAACAAATTCATATTAAAATTTAAATACATATTTGAAATTTTAAAACATGTACTTTACAAAAGCTTATAATTACGTATTATAAATATAATCTTATTTATTTAATATTATTATAATAATAAAAATATAGATTATATATTTGTTAAAATCAAATTAATAGAAAATGTGTATTTGACAATTTATATAATTTAAAAGACTATAATATAATTTTTGGGGGTAAAAATAAGATAAAAAATAAGATAGAATTGAAGATGAAAAATTATTATTATTATTATTTTTTTAGAGAACAAATAAAAATAAATCGAAGATAATATAAGGAAAATGTAATAAACTTTTCGCTGATTCTGTTTTTTTATCCGCTCCCCGTATTTAAACAGTCAGAAAGTGATAGCGCAGAAAAAGACACGAGAGTCCATGAATCCAACAAGATTTGTATGGCTGCTTTTACCCCTTTTCCTTTAATTTAATGAATATATACACGGCACCTCCATTCAAGATCTCAAGATTTCCACCAAAATCCTTCTCATCTCCTCTGCAGGTCAGCCAGCCGTCCTCTCTCATCTTCTCTGCATTTGCACCTTTTGTCATCTTGGAGAAATTGTGGAAAGATTTCCTCCTTTTAGATACCGACTTGACTTCAAATTGGGTATTCTCAGAAACATCGACGATTATAAGTTAGGGTTTGATCCGTTAAGATCAATACTCTACAACTCCAGTTTCTGTGTGTTCTTCGCAATCAGAAACCTAGGAAATCCACATTTTTAAATTTTCTGATCAAGAACGTACGAGATTTCTCTGTTCACGATAACGACTTGAATTCAAATAAGGTATTCTCAGAAACACCCACTTTTTACAGCTACTAATTTAAAAATATCACTTTCAAAGACAGACTATTTTGCTGCTTTTTATATTTTGATTGTACTGGATCTCCTTATTATAATATACAAATGTACAAAATAAGGGTTTCGTCTGCTGCTCATGTCCTGATGACCAACTTGATATGCAAGTCTGCAACAGAGTTGCAATTCTGATCAGTATCTGTGATTATAAATTTACTTGGAATTTTTTTATAGATTTCGATGGCTACGACCTACCAGCTTTCCGCTTGTCAATTCACGAATGCTTTACATTTTAATATATTTTCATTTGTTGGTATGCATAAGTTAGGTCTGCTTATGCACACTACCTTAAAATAAGTTAGATGGTGCTTTCAAAACCCTACAACCTTCCTTTTGTTTTCTTCCTTACTACAGTGTATATTCATTGAAAAGGATTCCAGTTGTCCGTTGTTTTTGTACTCTTTTGATGATGATTATCCTCAAGAATTTGAAGATGCAAAACATATTCAAATATGGTGTTCCCATGACCTAAACAAGTTGGGGTTTTATGATAACTTCAAGTTAGGCTCAATAAATGCTGAATATTTACATGCAAAGATTTTGTGGGTAGCTTTCTCTTTTGTTATTAATTGGTTAACACATCTTTTGACATCGCCATCAAATTGGTTTGACTTTACACCACGATGTTATTATTTTTTTTATGGTGTATAAATGAGACATCGGCTTATATTCAATCTAATATAGTATACATCTTTAATTTTTTGTTATAAAGTATAAACGTCATCCTTGTTTCCCTGGATTAACGTGTTATACTTGCAAATCACGTTTGCAGATAGATCAAAAGGGCTTTATTATATCTTTAGCATGATCTTATCAGCAACAACTTATCATCGATTTTGATGGGTTGCATCTGTTCCTCTGGCATTAAGCATCATAGCCCTGGGTATGAAGATCCCGCTCTTCTTGCTAAAGAAACCCCATGTGAGTTGTTGAATCTATCGTTTCACAAATCAAATGATCTTCAATTTTCTATCTTCATTACCCAAGTTTAAAACGTGCATCATATTATACGTTTCGGGTTTTCCTTGTTGAACCTTGAACCTTGAAAATTTCAGTCACTGTGAGTGAAGTTGAGGCGTTGTATGAGCTTTTCAAGAAGCTGAGCAGCTCCATTATTGATGATGGCCTCATTCACAAGGTATTCTGAGATTAATTTTAATTATAGTTTTTTTTTGCTTATAAGTAGTTAACATCTTCTCCAGGAAGAATTCCAGCTGGCACTCTTCAGGAACAGAAACATGCGTAATCTCTTTGCCGACAGGGTATGTGATTTTGTGAATTGTGAATCTTCTTGAAATGGTTTTTCTTTTTTACTATTTTTTTTTTTTTTCTAGATATTTGATCTATTTGATGTGAAACGTAATGGAGTTATCGAGTGTGGAGAATTTGTTCGATCACTAGGTGTTTTCCATCCAAATGCACCGATAGAAGATAAAATCGAATGTGAGATTCAGCTCCTCAAATCATCTCGGATTCTTAGGTCATTGACTTTTGTGTAATCTGACATTAAACTCTTTTTTGCAGTTGCTTTCAGGCTATACGATCTCAGACACACTGGTTTTATTGAAAGAGAAGAGGTCGGTATTTTTGTATTATTTACATTCTTGATGATGAAGATGAATCTCTTATTTTTTTTTTATTTTTTTTAAACAGCTAAAGGAGATGGTGATAGCACTGTTACATGAATCCGATTTGGTGCTTTCTGAAGACGTTATTGAAATGATAGTGGATAAAACATTTAGCGATGCAGATATTAAAGGGGATGGAAAGATAGATGAAGATGAATGGAAGGAATTTGTAGCAAAAAATCCATCTCTTATAAAAAACATGACCCTCCCGTACTTGAAGTAAGTTGACAAAATGACGAAAACGCCCATACCGTTTCTTAATAATCACTTCTTTTGCATGATATGATTTGTTATCTGTAGGGACATAACTTTGGCATTCCCGAGTTTTGTTTTGAGCTCTGAAGTGGAAGACTCGGATGTATAACAATTAGAGTAGAGAAAATATGAATTTGATCAAAATTTGACATGGTTTGAGACATGGGTGTCACAACTGGAACTACCTTTTTAAGGGAGCTGGGTTCGTTGGCTGAGAAGGGCAAAAGGGGAATTTCTTATGGTTCGGCTGCCATGGAGGTTGAAGGAGATTTGAGGTTGTTTATACAGAGGGAAAAAAATGGCAAATGCTCTACTATATGCAATAAGTTGCATTTGTGTTATTCAACTGTTGAGTTTAAGTATCTTGGTTTTGTAAAGAGACATATTATCATCGTTGTTCTCTGCTGTTGAATGAGAGACTTTAAAGTGTTGATAAACTGTGATTTTGTTTTCACTTGGGGATGAAAAACTGAGTTGGTTTCAACTTGTAGGGATTTTGTTTCTTGTTTATGTTCTTTTTTTAAGAGTTTTTGAATTTGAAAAGGGTACCAAAAGAAAGTTTACAATGGTTCTCTACAGTTTCTCTTTGTAACCGGTTTGAATTATTTGGTCATAATAAGGTTTCCGGTGTCCAAAATGTGATCATGCTTTCTTAGGGCCAATCTCAAAAACAAGTTTTTGTTGTATTCAGATTTTAAATCAAGTCTGATAACTGGTTTTGTTGTGCAACTCTAATAGAAATAAGCACAACAAAGCTTTATAATTTATATTGATGGAAGTCCAAAAAACAAAACATACCGAACAGCCTTAGGCCTAGGAGTCAAACGGTAAATATAAAAAACATTAGGTGACGGCCCACTACTAAAAATCCAAAGTTAAGCCCAAGATTTTTCTGCTAAAAATCCAAAGTTAAGCCCAAGATTTTTCTTCTAGATAGCTGGACTCTAGTCTCTAGAGTGGCAGGGTATGGTAGCTAGAGGTGCACAAACCAGATAGGGTAGAACCAGTTTGGAAAAAGCCGGCAGAAACTTAAAAAACCAAACTTTATAGGTTTTTGGTTTGAAAAATACATAAAAAAAACATGAAACAAGTTAAAAATATGAAAACATAAAATGTAACATATAGAATGGAATACATGCGTCTCCGTGTCCATGTCCGTGTCGGTGTTTTGGAGTTTTTAGAGATTTGTGAGTGTTTTTTGGAAAGATAGTGATCAAACTAACACATTCACTACCTGTATATATTAACAAACTAGGTGTGAAAACCGTGTATTATACGGGTGGATTAAAAAAGTTAAATATAAGGCGTAAACATTAAGCATTTTTTAAAGTAAAATTTTGAAATAGATATAAATGAAATGATGATATATTGATAAAAAATATTATCATGTTTAAAAAATCATGCTGAATATGAATGTGTAAAAATTAAGTATTTTTTAAAGTAAAACTTTCGAAATAAATACAATAAATAAAATAAACCACAAGGACCATTTATGTAACTTGTCTTAATTAATCTATAATAATAAAACTAACTAATATAATGTAACATACACGTTTTGATTTCGTGTTTTTTTTTTGAAAGGGAACTTCCCTAACGAGGGTTTCCGGACCAGCTTTCACGCACCGACTAATCCCCCGCTGCAAATATAAAGCTTTGCCTCATGCCCTGGAGTCACTGCAGGCGAACCTCCATGGCCACAAGGGCTGAGTGGTGCCAGGATTTGAACATGGGTCAATAGGTTATCCACCATATCTTCCACATGCCTTACCAAGTCACCACAACCCAAGTGGATTTGATTTCGTGTTTTGTAATGAATAAAATTGTGAAATACTATGTAAAATTGAGTGTTGAGTTCTAACAGATGGTTTTTACTAGAAATGAAGTAAAACTATGTTTAGAATCACTCAGAAAATATTGAAAGTCTTATGAGATTTCAGTTAAAAGCCACATAGTAAAATTTAGTGAAAATATAAAATTTTAAATAAGTAAAATTTATTATTGAAAGTTGTAAATAATCTCGTTAGAAACTTATAGGCGAAAACCTCGTCGAAATCCGAGTTATAACGAAGAAGTCATGACCAATCGAAGATCCACGATAAAACCGACACGACGCCGAATGACGTAAAAAGTGAGTTTTTAATAAACTACTTTTTAGCCTTAGTAATCTAAATGAAATTCGTAGTATTCGTTAAAGCGAGAAATTCGATAAAAAGAACGCCGAAATCTGACTTCGTATGAGGAAGTTGTGATTTTTCAAAGTTTCAACTTAACACTAGACAGCTAAAAACTCGAATTTTAGATCGAGCGATATTTGGACGATATATCCTAAACGAGAATCGAAGGTCTCGTCATTTGTAGTACAACGGTAAAAAGTCTGACGAAAGCGGATGTCGGATGAAGAAGTTATGAATTTTTAACGGATTTTCCTGTCCCGATCTGTTAAAAATAATAATATTAAAAATAAATTCAAAATTAGCCAATGAAGTCTAAATGAAAGTTGTAGAGCGTAATTTTAGCTACACGTGCATATAAATAACGTCAAAAACGGAGCTCATATGCAAAAGTTATGGATTTTAGAAGTTCAGGACTCAATTTCCGAGAAATCTCGCATGAATAGTAGCATACACGTCACCTCGCACGAAGCAGGTGCGTCACCGAAGTCGTGGCAGTGTCCGGATCCGACGCGTGTTCTCCAGCTGTCTCGATCTCGCATGGCTAGCCTCGTGGCCTCGCCTCGCAGCGCCACCTGCCCCTACGCGTGTCCGAGCCTCGCTTCACCACCGCCGCCCCCTCTCGCATGCGAGCCACGTGCTTCGTTTCGCATGAGCCACGTCTCCCCTCCGGATCCGAGCTTCGTAGCTACGACGTGGAGCTTCCTTAGCCAAGCAATCCTCAGTCTCGCACCCTATAAAAGGGAGACTTGCGAGACTTGCCAACTAACTTTGAATTTTTGACACTTTTCACCCCTTTTTCCATATTTTCTTCATTTTGACTTTCCCCGAAGCCCTGATATCAATTTTATCACCCGAAACACGTCCCGAAGCTTCCGAGAAGCCCGACAATTTTATCTTTTCGGTTTTGAAGCCCTACCTTCGCAGAGCCCAGTTTTCAATTAAGCTCCCGGTTTTCAACATAGAAAGTCATATTTAAAGCTGAAGTGCTGTCCAAATTACTATTTTAACCCCCGATTAATTTAAGGTGAGTTCAATATATAGGAACAATTGTATGTTATGTGTTATATGTGCTATGTGCTTTTCAATGTTATTATTCTGAGTTATTTTCCCGTATTATTTTTATTCGCTGTTTTTAATAGCAAAGTTATACCTTTGACCATGTGATCAGTGCAGGGACTTAGATTCACGGTGGTACTGGTATGTAGCCTCTGACCATGTAGAACATGTCTCGTAAAAGAATGACTTCTATTATATGGCATTGGCAGAAGGTTAGATAGGAATGGTATGTAGCCTCTGACCATGTAGAGCATGACTCCGTAAGAGAATGAACTCTATTCTATGGTATTGGCAAATGGTTAGATAGGACTATAAGCCTGAAATCTACCAAAATGTTAATCAGAAATTATATGTCTTCTGTGCCATTTGGGCCAAAACTTTATTGATGCATATCAAGTATTGAAATCGTTATGTCTCATTGATCGTAAATCTTTGAATCAAATCTTGAGTTGATATTGAAAGCCTGACATATGATACGCATATGCTATTATTGTTCTTGTTCCCTTTTGCTTCTGTCATATTTGTATATATAAGGCATAAGATTATATTGTATCTATTTATTGAATTCACTAAGCGTTATCGCTTATTCCTCTTAGCTCCAAATTTCGGCCACCACAACTCCAGAATAAACCCTACACCGAAATTGCATACCCTTCCCCCCCCCTCTCTCTCTCTCTCTATATATATATATATATATATATATATATATATATATATATATATATATATATATATATATATGTTCTTTCTTGCTAGCTCTTGGGTGTGATTCCATTAGAGACATGACAATTGTGGTGCTAGGCTTCTAAGAAGATCAAGATCTAAGGATTGTCAATTATTTACTTTAACACTTGAAAGGTATGTGATTCTAAAACCATAATTAGTTATTTTCAGAAATAGCCTATTCTCTTAGGGTTCTTGTTTTGCAATTCGAAGTTTTATGTTCAATAGTTAAAACATAGATCTAAAGGAGGTTGCATGTGAACATAGGAATTGTTTTCTAGTTTATTTGTTTTAAATAAAATCTATCAAATATAACACGGGCTTCGCCACGGGTTGTTTTTGTTTAAATAAACCAAAACATATGGACCTTTAAATTCATTGATTAAAAAGCAAATAGTGAATTAATCCACTACAAATTCAATACGTAATACAACAAAGCCAAAAAGAGAACCACATATGTCAAAGTATATGTAACATCCCAAAAATCCGTACCAAAATTTTTACTTTAAATCATTATCAAAGCCATATTCATAAAAACATATCATAATTCATAACATAAATTTAGAGTATTAATTCCAAAGCGTATTTCATTATCAGAGTAAAACATCCCAGGCTGACTCATCAATGGTGTGTGCCATGCAATCACCCCGAGCTCTTCCCTCCGCATCCGAAAGTACCTGAAACCAAAACTGAAAACCATAAGCACGAAGCTTAGTGAGTTCCCCAACCTACCACATACCCTGCACAAAGACAATCAACATATACTGGGCCACGCCCGCTATTCCGGGCCTCGCCCCTACCTCAAGCCCTGCCTGCTACAACGGCCCCGCCGCTCCAGGCCCCGCCTAGCTTCGAGCCCCGCTCGGATACAAATCTGTTTCTTTTAGGCTTGCATGTCTCTGGGCCCCGCCTGCTAACCACATATAGTACAAAATAACATATAACACATACCTGAACATACCCTACTGCATTCTTGTCCTTAGGCCTCGCCTGGCTTGGGCCTCGCCCCTGTCCTGTCACTAGTGAGTCATGGAACCCCGTCCAAGATCCTACGGAAAATGAGATACGGGCCCACACCCACACTCACTCCATGCCTATCTCAGGCCTCGCCCATGCTTTGCTACTAATGAGATATGGAACACCATCCATACTATGCTATTGGTGAGATACGGGACCTCGCCCACACTCACCTTCCTACCGGGCACATACATGCATCACACAGACAACAAGTATACTCTATCATGCAAACCATTCCTAGGGCACCCGCCCGACATCAGACCTTGGTCCGGAATATCATACTAGCAAATAGTGCCTAGGGCTAACCCCCAAGTCTTCCTACTCATAATTACATTGGCCAGCATTGTGGCCGTAGAGCCATTCACACAAAGGGAAACTCACATGCACTACTGAACTTGCTGATAACCCTCTTGCTGCTGACCGACAATTCTCTAAACCGCTGCTCCACTAGCTCCCCGAGCTACCAATATCAATACATATATCACTTAGTTCCAACTGAACTCTAGAAGCCAAACTAAGTCAACTCTGGTCAAAGTCAATCTTTCTGGCTGACTCTACTCGCCGAGTCAGTCCTTTGACTCGTCGAGTACATATACTCAAAACTCTCATAATGCGACCCAACTCACCGAGTCACCCCAAGACTCGTCGAGTTCAACGATCTATGAGTCCCATCCTGTCCAACTCACTGG